GCAAAGCTGTGGTGCCCAGCTGTTTGATTTAACAATAGTCTACATGAAGGTATTTCATAGACATGATTGACGTTTAAAATTGGTTGACTTTAAATACAACAGATCATTTTCCATCATGTAGATGAGCCTCATCCAATCAGTTCAACAACTTAGGAGCAAAACCTGCGGTTTCCCAGAGAAGTCTGTAATGGAGAAATCTTGCCAGGCCAGGCACGATGGCTCACGCCTGTAATCCCAACACTTTCAGAGGCCTAGGCAGGTGGATCCACCTGAGGTTAGGAGTTCGAGACCAGCCTGGCCAACATGGCAAAGCCCCGTCTCTACAAAAAAATTACAAAAATTAGCTGGGCAAGATGGCACACACCTATAATCCCAGCTACTTGGGAGACTGAAACAGGAGAACTGCTTGAACCCAGGAAGCAGAGGTTGCAGTGAACTGAGATCACACCACTGCACTACAGCCTGGGCAACAGAGCGAGACTCCATCTCAAAAAAAAAAACAAAAAAAGAAAGAAAGAAAAGAAGAAAAAGAAATCTTGTTGTAGTTTCCTCGTGCTGGCCTGCCCTATGGATGTCAGTCTCTGTTAGTTCTGTTTCTAGAGAATCCTGAGTGATGCCCACACCTTTGAAAGGTGACTTTGCCACTCTGTCGGTCAAGAGCTGGAGCCCGTTTCTCTATCTCTTCAACCTAGGTTTGACCACACAATTTGCTTTGTCAGAAGGGACATTAGCAGCTGGGGACCCTTCTGCCACCACAAAAGCCTAGATTCTCCTGATGGATGATGGAAGACACATGGCTGCTATTCCAGCTGACATCAAGCCAACCACTGGACAAGACAGGGAGGCTCTCCTAGGACACAAAGTCCCAAACGAACTGACCCAGAGCAGATAAACTGCTCAGCCAAACTGCAAGGCTGTGATTAACAAAGCCTTCGTCTTAATCCACCAAATTTTGGGGTGGTTTGTTACACAGCAAACACTCACTAATATAGTCATTATCGTTAGGTATTTCTTAAGTTGATCATATTCCCCAGAGTAGAATAAGCCAATGTCCTGCTCCTTATTCCCAGCTGCCAGCATTGTAAGAGCTGAGCGGAAGGCTGGGGTTTTCAGCACTCAATATGTAAGTATTCCCTTAATTTTCCAAGTAAGTCAGGGCAATTTATGAAGCTTTAGAGGGCACTGTGTCCACATGGAAGACTGTCCTCTTTTCTGACATCAAGTACAAGTTTGGAGGGTTCCCCAAGCCACCCTAAGCTTTAACAATTTGCTAAAAGGACTCACAAAACTCACTGAACACTGTTGTACTCACAGTTGTGGTTTCCTACAGGGAAGAGAACACAGCTTAAAATCAGCCAAGGGAGGAGACACATGAGGTGGAGACCAAGATGGGTCCAAACGCAAAGGTTCAGGTTGTTCTTTCCTGAAAGGTTCAGGTGCCTCAGGCTGGGTGTGGTGGCTCATGTCTGTAATGAAGGTATTTCATAGACATGATTGACGTTTACAATTGGTTGACTTGAAAACAACAGATCATTTTCCATCATGTAGATGAACCTCATCCAATCAGTTCAACAACTTAGGAGCAAAACCTTCAGTTTCCCAGAGAGGTCTGTAATGGGGAAATCTTGCTAGGCCAGGCACAGTGGCTCACGCCTGTAATCCCAACACTTTCGGAGGCCTAGGTGGGTGGATCCACCTGAGATTCGGAGTTCAAGACCAGCCTGGCCAACATAGCGAAGCCCCATCTCTACTAAAAAAATTACAAAAATTAGCCAGGCAAGATGGCACACACCTATATTCATTCAAAGTGCTGGTGGCTCCCAGCACTTTGGGAGGCCAAGGTGGGCAGATTACCTGAGGTCAGGAGTTCGAAACCAGCCTGGCCAACATGGTGAAAGTCCATCTCTACAAAAAATACAAAAATTAGCTAGGCATGGTGGCACATGCCTGTAATCCCAGGTACTCGGGAGGCTGAGGCAGAAGAATTACTTGAGCCCCAGAGACAGAGGTTGCACTGAGCCAAGATTGTGTCACTGCACTCCAGCCTGGCAGAGAAAGCGAGACCCTGTCTCAAAAAAAAAAAAAAAAAAAAAAGAACTCCAGTGAGTGGCCCACGACAATTGGCTGACATAGGACATGATCCTCGCTTCCCAAGGGCACTTGGGATTGTGCAATCAGAAGTGACTGATGTGCGTATGTTTCCATAGACCTCTCTGATGTCTATGCCATCACCAAAAATATTCAGACTGCAAACCAGGAAATGCATTGAATTGCCACTGTTGTCCTTATATTTCCATTTAAGGACACTGCAGCCCCAACATCTCAAGGCCTTTTAGGTGAGCTTCCTTCAAACCTCAGATCTTGGTTACTCCCTAGTTTAAGCTTTAACCCTTCCCATTTGACCTGAGAACACTTGCCCTTGCGGCTGCAGCATTTACCTGAAAATAACTTTGCCAAGAAAGTTCTTGCTTTATTCCTTTTTTTTTTCTTTCTTTTTAATTTAAAAGATGGGGTTTCACCATGTTGGTCAGGCTGGTCTTGAACTCCCAACCTCGTGATCCACCGCTTTGGCCTCCCAGAGTGCTAGGATTACAGGCGTGAGCCGCCACGCCTGGCCACTTTATTACTTTTGCATTTATCTAGCATATTGACATTGGAAACAAAAGACATCATTCTATTTATAGCATGGTTTTTACTCGTGATATTTCCATTTATAAAATATAGTAATTCTTGGTCGCTGAAAATGTCAGATCCTAGAAAATGTAACATTCCTATGCATGATGTTAACATCATTAAATAGCTGTTGGCCAAAGAATCATTTGATGAATCCAATTTTTCTAAATTAGGTGACGCAGGTCTGTTGAGAAATAACTTCAAGAACAGTTTTTATATTTTATTTCCACATTGAAAATCAGTCAAATTTGCTCTGGCCTCAAAGAATGTGCTTATGCAAAATTAAATGAGCGGTACCAGCCAGCTGCACTTTTTTTTTCTAAACGGGAAAAGGGTTAATAATCATTCATTTAAACATATGCTAGGCATGCCTCTCTTAAATGCTGATCTCTAAGACTCTCTAATACCTGTCATTCTAGAACACAGTCAGCAGATGGCACAGCTAGCTCTTCCGGGCCATTGAAAACACGAAGGCCAGCCCACCCCTGAGACCTAATTGAACCAGCCTCAACCTGGCAGTGAAGTTTTCTCCATCCCTAACAGCACTGAAGGACAGACAGATTTTTTTTTTTTTTTTTTTTTGAGACGGAGTTTCGCTCTTGTTACCCAGGCTGGAGTGCAAAGGCACGATATCGGCTCACCGCAACCTCCGCCTCCTGGGCTCAAGCCATTCTCCTGCCTCAGCCTCCTGAGTAACTGGGATTACAGGCACGCACCACCATGCCCAGCTAATTTTTGTATTTTTGGTAGAGACGGGGTTTCACCATGTTGACCAGGACAGTCTCGATCTCTTGACCTCGTGTTCCACCCGCCTCGGCCTCCCAAAGTGCTGGGATTATAGGCGTGAGACACCGCGCCCGGCCCTGGGACAGACAGATTTTGTCCTTCATTGTCTGAAACAAGGAAAGAATAACCATGAGCTCACAGTTGCCAACTTTTTATCAACGACTTTGGCTTGACCAAACTTTAATTGGGTTTTTACCTCTAAGCCCCTAAATGTTGCCTTTCACGAAAGCACTCAGATGCACACTGTCTTCCTGAACAGCTCAGCTGCACAGTCTGCTGACTATAGAGAAAACTATGTCTTGTTGAAGAGACCTGATTTCGCCCTGTGTCTACCCATCCACTTGCCCTCCTCCATAACAAAGTTTCTGCAAGTCCTGCTTACCCAAGCCTACAAAAGAAAAGCTTTATCTAGTTGATTTTGGATGCTTGCAGGTTAATAAAACCAGAGCATTCGCTCTATGGTAACAGGCTTTTTGATTAGTTTCTTTTTATCTAAGTCTGGATTTCCTTTTTTCTTAAGAGACAGGGTCTTACTGTGTCGCCCAGGCTAGATTTGAACCCCTGGGCTCAAGCAACTCTCCCACCCCGCCCTCCTGAAGAGTTGCAAGTCCAGTCAGGTGCCAGCACTCCCAGCATGGATTTGTATTTATTTGACCACAGGGTCATCTGATACCCACAGGCCAGGGTGTTAGATAAATTCCCTTGCTCAGGCACTGTCTAGATCATGATGGTCGTGCTGCCCATCACTGAGGTGGCAGGTGATTTGCTGGGTGGGGACTATAATACCAACTGTGGGAGGCAGCAGCCGGCCTGCTGCATGGGTGGGGGCGAGCACCTGTACAAGGACGTGGTCTCTTTGAGAACTACCATGTTGCCCACCCAGCCTCCCCACCCACTCCCTGCCACAAATTCACAAAGGAGCAAGCACCCTGATGATGGCCAGTTCCTTCCACTGACGCCTAGATGCCCTCCCAGGCTCCTGCTGCCCTTCCCCGCCCAGTCTCTCCTGTGGTCAGTGCCAGCATGTAGATCGGTGGCTTAAACCTGCACTGTTGCAGGGGTGCCTGGGATCTGTGCCAAGAGAGCTTGATTCCTGGAGGCAGCCACAGTGTGGGTGCCCCGTCCTCAGTCCTGCCACGACCCATCGATCATCCCCGATGCAATGGCATTCAGCCCTGCCTGGGGTGACAGAGCCTCCCTGGACCCCTTTCCCACATGTCTACCCTCCTGACCCTCTCTCTAGAAGGGCATCTGCTGTGCCCCCTCCTCCTCCAGGGCCCCTCCCCGCCTTTCAGTCTATCGCCATAATATGGCCGATGCTCTGCGGATTTTCAAGCCCCTCAGCAGCAGCTGCTGCAGGAAATAGGGGGTGCAACTCTTTGCTCTCTGTCTAGCACTAACTGACCACAAAAGCCCCTGTTCCAAGGACATGGGAGGAGGACAAGGCTATCCTTAGTGACATTCAGGATGCTGGGCCATGGTGTGGTTCTTTTTTCATTTCAGTTTTGGGAGGTCATCAGCGATGAGCATGG